TCCTAACCATTACTCTTATCAAAAAAAAAAAAAAAACATAGATTTAAACAAGGACAAATTTTCTTGAATATCAGCTGCTGACCATCCTTTCCATTCGTTCAATTCACTTGTGATGGATGGATGGACATATGGTCCTGCAGCATAGACCTTAACACCAATAATGGCAAATACTTTCTCCCTGTATCATGAAATATAATGGATGGTTTAAGTTATGGTGGTTTAAAGCATCCAATGAATGCGATCATCAGTCTTATCAGCTATAAATGGACACAACATTTTTATATCTAGTGCTGATTTGTTTTCCCAATTTAATACACACTGAGATATGCATGCTGATCTTTTTTTCTTCTTTTTTTTTATTGTTTCAGATTAGGAAAAGGTCGTAGGTCTGACAAGGCCCATAGCAGATTATTGATGATTGATGTAAAAGTAAAAATAAAAGGGTGAGGAGAACTTAGCAACCACCCCCTCAGAATGAGACTTCATATTGAAACCAGGTTTATAAGAACAAAGCATAATTTTAAACATGATTTAATGTTATGGTCAAAAAAAGAAAAAAAAAACTTTTGATTCAATGTAAGGAGCTACATATTTTGAATATTCTTAGAGACCAATTTAATTAAGTGCCATCATTTCTACCAACCATTATGGTTAAAATGTGCTCGCTAGACACTCTGGTAGGTACTTCATTCAAAATGGCATACACCACATCCAAAGTATCTCTTTTGTTTTCAGCCAACCATTGTATGCACGTCTCAACCACCCAAACATCAAAATATTGATGCAAAATAAATGACTATATGCATGTTAATACTTAAAAGTGTATTTCCTACAAGACATCTTAGAATATATATATATATATATATTATTAGGGTATTTTTAAAATAATTTTTTTATATCTCGATACTATATATTCTTAGGTGATTTTAAATGTACTTTTTACATCAGCTTGATACATTCAAAATTAGTAGACAGGATCGGAGGAACCAAGATCAATAGTAGAAGTGGAAGCAGCAAGGAGCAGCAGTGAGGATCGACGGTAAGAGGCAAGACTACACTAACAGGTGAGAGATCTTTACCTTCCAGATTGCCAATGTATGACCGTGGACTATGGAGAAAAGCTACTTCTTATCTCTTCACAAACTTTTCTGAGAATTGTTCTCCCAAACGATTATGGTATTTGTTTGCAACATACAGAGCTGGTTTAGGAAGAATCGTGGATGTGTTTGTTCCTAAAAAGAAGGACAGGAAAGGCAACAAATTCGGATTTGTGAGGTTCGCAAATGTCAAAGATAAGAGCAAGCTAGATAAAGCATTTAAAATGATCTGCTTTGGAATTGAGAAGATCAGAGTCACCATTGCCCCTTATAGAGAACCAAAATAGGATAACCAAAAACAACCTCGCATCCTCCCCCTTCCACCACCCCTAGAAACCTTCAAGTCGAGATCTTTTGCAGAAGCTCTTCTAAATGGTCCAAACCCTCCAAAATACTCCAACCAAACAAGCAAACTCATGAGCAAAGCTAAGACCCAGCCTGAAGAATACAAAACAAGGGAAAAAATTGAAAACTCCATTCTGGAGCTGGAAGATGACATTGTAGATTCAAGTTGGCTAGCAAACTGTGCCACAGGAAATGTCCATTGCCCAACTCTTATACTTGGCCATTAGCAAGAGCTATGGGAGAATGGATTCATCTCTTTCAAAATCACACCAATGGGAGGCTGTAAAGTCCTAATCCACACAGAAGAAAAGAACCTGATTACCAAATTCATTGATAATGAAAGGGCTCGGTGGAGTAAATGGTTTGGTAAAATCAAACTCTGGAGTCCAACTGATACTGCTAAACAGAGATTAGCATGGATTAGAATCTCAAGTCTTCCCCTACATGCTTAGAACAAGAAAGCCTAGGAAAAAATTGGGAATTTCCTAGGCTCCTTCATAAAGGTGGATCAATACACTCTTAGCAAGGATTGCTTGGATGCTGCTAGAATTCTAATAACCACATCTGATGCAAATCAAATTGATTGTGTACTCTTAATAAAAATCCAGAACCACCTTCACTCTGTGAATGTATCAAAAGAACAATGGTGAATTGATCCCTGGTGGTTGAAAGCATCAAAGATCTATGAAAGTGATGAATCAGATTCTGAAGAATCATCTAATGGGGACTTCAACAATAATTTCGGTAGTTGGTGTTTCTTATCCAACGAAGAAGTTGACAAACCACTGGATTTTGAAAAAGATCCGTTGGATGCAAAAATGATGACACCCTCTGATACTGCCAGTCCCAAGGAGAAAGATGGATTGGGTATTGCATAAACAGGCTTAGGGAAATCTATAAAAACCAGTACAAAAGGCTCCATGTCAGAAAACGACTGTTGCATTTATAACCTGTCCAATTCAACCTCGTCACCCCCTGCAGAATTTGAATTTGGAAACCCTAAGTCAAAAGACCAACCTAACCCAAACCACTCCCAACAAACCCATATTTATGCAACCCAAAACCCAGGCCCAAAAAACCCCTCAACCCAAGCATACCCAGAAAATCCATTGACCCAAGTAAACCCAGATAATATTCCAAACTAACCCTCTGATACATCCACAAGTCCAAAAACTATATTCCAGCAACCTAAAAATCTCCAGTTCACCACAAGGCTGCACCGAGGGAGAGGAAAAAACCGACCAAGCAAGGGCAATGTAAGAAAAATTGAGTCACTTCCTCTAGATCCTCTTTCTCAAATAGCTTTATGGAGAAGAGGGATAAATTGAAAGCAAAAGAAGTGGAGGAAATGGACGTCAGAAGATTTGTTGAGTTTCGCAAGAGGATTGGAATCTGTTTTGTGGGAAAAAAAAGGAGGTATTTGCATCAAAATTTCACGAGATGGAAGAACGTGATTTGGGGCACCATCTACCCTAAATCTTATCCTTGCATACCACCAGCACCTCCAAAACAATGAAGCTTGTGTCATTTAATGTACGTGGGCTTGGCAATCATGTCAAGCGAAACCAAATAAAAAGTATATTAGACAAGGAGCATATTGAATTTCTGATGATTTAAGAGTCAAAAGTAGAGGTCGTTGATGAGTGAGATTATAGATCAATCTGGGGGCAAAATGAGTTTGATTGGTGTGCAAAAGGCTCCAATGGCAAAGCAGGAGGCCTTATTTGCATTTAGGATCCAAATCTTTTTCAGAAAATAGAAGTATTTGATGGCAAAGGCTTTATAGGCGTTGAAAGCCTGTGGGGTGAAAGGAAACATAGATGCTGCTTCATTAATATTTATGGGCCTTATAAAGCAGCTGGTCGAGCAAAGTTGTGGAGTGATATTTCATCTCAAATCAATGATCGAGGCGGCACCATCTGTATAGGTGGTGACTTTAATTGTGTCCGTGGACCGCATGAGAGAAGAGGTAAGATCTCAACCTAGCTTTGGCGATTTCAATTTGTTCATTGAGGAAAACAATTTGGTAGACTTACCCCTATCAAATAGAAAATTTACTTAGTATAAGAGTGATGGTACAACACACAGTAGGTTGGATAGAATTTTACCCTCAAAAAATTACCAAAATATATGGGGAACTTGTGTTCAACTAGCAATTAAAAGAAGCATCAGTGACCACTGCCCTGTTAGCTTATGCCCTAGCCACAATGATTGGGGACCAAAAACCTTCAAATCTATCAACAATTCAACCCTACATCCTGATTTTGGACCGATGATTGAGAAACAATGGAGTAATGTTGAGATAAATGGGTACTGAGGATTCAAATGCAAACAGAAACTTAAGCACTTAAAGCAGCATCTCAAGAAATGCAACAACGAGGTGTTTGGCAATATTGATAATCAATTGGAAGAGGCCCTTAAAAAAGTTGAAACTGTGGACTCTAAGTCTGATGATCAAGACCTCACAAAGGAAGATATACTAAAAAGGAAGGAAGGATTTGCTGAATTCTGGCATTGTTTAAGGAAGAAAGAGATCTTGTGGAGGCAAAAATCCAGAGCTATATGGATCAAAGAGGGAGATGCAAACACGGGTTTCTTCCATAGATTTGTCAATGGGAGAAAAAAAAAAAAGAATTTGCTTTGTGGAATTAATAAACAAGACACTTGGACTGATGAACCAGAGCAAGTCAAACAGATTACAATGGAACACTTCAAGAGCCAATTCTCTAATCAATCCTAACTTCAAGTACCCCTAGATAGTTTACAATTCACCAAACTAAATGAGGAAGACAGGGACATGCTAGAGGTAGAATTTAATGAAGAAGAGATCAAAGAAGCAGTATCCTCTTGTGCCAATGATAAAGCATCGAGACCCAATGGCTTCAATTTTCATTTCATCAAATCAATTTGAAGCACAATTGAAGGTGATGTTGTTAATTTCATAAAGGAATTTCACAAGAATGGAAAGTTGGTCAAAGGTTTGAATACCTTCTACATTGCTTTGATTCCCAAGACAAAAAATCCTACTACACTAAAGGAATTCAAACCGATGAGCTTGGTGGGCTGCCTTTACAAAATCCTAGTCAAGGTACTTGCAAATCGGCTTCGAAAAGTAATCAATAAGGTGATAAGTTCGAGCCAATCTGCGTTCATGGAAGGGAGACACCTGGTTGATAGTGTTTTGGCCTTAAACAAGCTTGTACATGATATGAAAGTCAACAAGATGAAGGGCATAATCTTCAAGGTTGATTTTGAAAAAGCCTTTGACTCTATTGATTGGAATTATTTGGACATAATGCAAACAATGCTGGAGTTTGGCCAAAAATGGCGCAAATGGATAAAGGAGTGTCTATCTTCAACCACTATCTCTATCCTTGTGAATGGTAGCCCAACTAAGGAATTCAATCTGCAAAATGGGTTAAGGCAAGGTGATCCCCTCTCGCCCTATCTTTTTATAATTGCTGTCAAAGGGTTACATGCTTGATTACCAAGGCAGAAAGAAGAAATCTCTTCAAAGGGGTGGCCATAAACACTGACATATCCATCTCTCATCTACAGTTTGCTAATGACACTGTCTTACACAGCTAGGCCTTGGTGAATTCTATCACAGCAATAAAGTAGATTATGAGATGGTTTGAGATTATGTCTGGACTCAAAATGAACTTTAAAAAGAGCATTCTATATGAGGTCAATGTGGATAACAAGTGGATGGATATGGCAGCTTCAGCCTTGAACTGTAAACATGGGAACTTGCCTCTTATTTACCTTGGACTCCCAGTTGGTGGAAATCCACACCGT